GAGTGTATATATTTGTTTCATTTTGTAAGGAAAAGTACAAATCTATGGTCTGAGTCTGTGAGACTGTGTATGTATAAATGTGTCAGTGAATAGCTCTGTAAACATGTCCGTGTGTCAGTGGGGATGTCTTTTTATTTATCTTTCATACTTGACATATGCCAACAACATACGTAAAATATATCAGATTAAATGAATAATGGTCTGTCACCCAAACCCAAGGACTGGAACATTGCCAGTAGCTTGTCCACTCCTTCTTTTTCCCATTCCATCACTTCCCCCACTAGCTGAATTTACAAATTTTATGTAAGTTCCTTGAATTTTTCTTACAGATGTATGTGTCTAAACACTGCATCACTAGATTTGATTTTGTTAATTTATTTTTAAGGCAGTGTCTCACTCTGTTGCCCAGGCTAGAGTGCCATAGTATCATCATAGTTCACAGCAACCTCAAACTCCTGGGCTCAAGATCCTCTAGCCTCAGACTCCCGAGACTACAGGCGCTCACCAGACTTGCTTTTTTTCTTTCTTTCCTTTTTTTTTTTTTTTTGAGACAGTCTCAAGCTACCCTGGGTAGAGTGTCAGGGTATCATAGCTCACAGTAACCTCAAACTCTTGAGCTCAAGCAATTCTTTTGCCTCAGCCTCCTGAGTAGCTGGGACTATAGGTAGGTGCCCATCACAACGCTGGCTTTTTTTTTTTTTTGGAGACAGAGTCTCACTTTGTCGCCCTAAGTAGAGTGCTGTGGTGTCACAGCTCACAGCAACCTAACTCCTGGCTTAGGCGATTCTCCTGCCTCAGCCTTCTGAGAAGCTGGGACCACAGGCACCCAGCTATTTTTTGTTGCAGTGTGGCTGGGGCCAGGTTTGAACCCACCACCCTTTGTATATGGGGCAGGCGCCTTATTCACTGAGCCACAGGAGCCACCCAATGCTGGCTATTTTTAGACATGGGGTCTCGATCTTGCTCAGGCTGGTCTCAAACCTGTGAGCTCAGGCAGTCCACCCACCTCGGCCTTCCAGAATGCTAGGATTACAGGCATGAACCACCGTGCCCTGCCAGAGACTTGCTATTTTTAATCAACATTGTTGTTTCTGAAATCCATCCATCATGTTGTGTATAGATGTCATTCATTCACTTTTTTCTGCTGTATAATATCCCTTGTAGGGGATTTATTACAATCTACGTATCTGGTCTCCTGCTATTGGGCATTTTAGTGCTTCTGGGTTTTTTTTGTTTGTTTGGGCAATTTTTAGAGACGTGGTCTCACTCTTGCTC